AGTGATGGAAGCAAGAGATTCAAGGCCAGATTAGTAGTAAAGGGGTTTTAATAGTGGGAAGGAGTGGACTACACTGAGATATTTTTCTCTGTCGTGAAGCTCACAACCATCAGAGTGGTGTTGAGTTTGGTACCTGCAGAAGACCTCTTTCTTGAGCAGTTAGATGTGAAGACTGCATTTCTTCATGGTGACTTGAATGAAGAAATCTACATGAAGCGACATGTTGGTTTTATTGAAGAAGGAAAGGAAAAGATGGTGTGCAAGCTCAAGAAGAGCTTATATGGTTTGAAACAGGCTCCGAGACAGTGGTACAAGAAATTTGATAACTTTATGCAAAATAATGGCTACATAAGATGCAATTCAGATCATAGCTATTATTTCAAAAGGTTCGAGTCCAGTTTCATTATCTTGTTATTATATGTTGATGATATGTTGGTAGCAGGATCATGTTTAGAAGATATAAACAATTTTAAGAAGCAGCTAGCAAAGGAGTTTGCAATGAAGGATCTGGGTGCAACAAAACAGGTTCTAAGGATGCGAATCAGTAGGGATGAAGCTGAAGGGACGTTGAGATTGAGTCAAGCTGAATACATTGAGAAAGTACTTTAGAGATTCAATATGCAGAATGCTAAATTTGTTAGCACGCCCCTTGAAAGTTAGTTCAAGCTATTTGAGGATCAATCGCCTAAGACAGATGCAGATAGAGAGCATATGAACATAGTCCCGTATTCTTCGGCCATTGGGAGTCTCATGTATGCGATTGTTTGCACGAGGCCGGACATCGCCCATACAGTAAGAGTTGTGAGCAGGTTTGCAAGCAATTAAGGGAAGCAGTATTGGGAGGTCGTGAAGTGAATATTGCGGTACATGAGGGGAACAACGAACAAACCACTATATTTCAGGAGGAAGGAGTTGGTACTACAGGGATACGAGGATGCGGACTTCACCGGTGATCATGATACAAGGCGAAGCACCACAGGGTATGTTTATACCTTAGCGTTGATAGTAGTGAGCCGGATCTTACGTCTGCAGAACATTATGACTTTATCTACAACCGAGGCTGATTATGTCGTGATGACCGAAGAAAGCAAGGAAATGATCTGGTTGAACGGGTGCTTGAAAGAGTTGGATCTGAAGCAAGGGAGAGGTGTTCTTTATTGTGATAGTTAGAGCGCTATACATCTTACCAAGAATCCAGTATATCATGTCAGAACAAAGCACATCGACATCAAATATTATTTTATACGCTCGCTAGTTGAAGACGGAAAGTTACACTTAATAAAGATTTTGGGGAGTCAAAATCCGGCGGACATGTTGATGAAGGTAGTCACCATTGAGAAACTGGAGTTATGCGTAACTAGAGTTGGCCTTCACGAGTAGAAGATGAAGGTGGAGCTACACTACGAGGATCGGTGAGATCGCTGGGATATTGTTGATTGAAGAAAGGATTTTTTCGGGGATGAGAAGATACATGCGAAGAAGGGGAGAGTTTGGATGAACTCACTGATGGTACTTTGGTCTCCAAGTGGGAGATTGTTAGTCTAAAGTGTAGACCCAAAGTTAAAGCCGAAGCTGGAATCACGAAGAACACAGTCTAAAAAGTACAGGAGAACTGCCAGTCAGCTTGGCGGTCGACCGCGAGTCAGCAGTGGTCAACCGCGAACGTGCACAGGAGTCCGGGAGAGGCTGGAGCTGAAGTCGGTCGACCGCAGCGGTCGACCGCGCCAACCCTGTAATGTTTTCTGCTCTCGGGTTTTGGTTCGGTCGACCGCCGCGGTCACCGTTATACTTACGCGGTCGACCGCTCGCGACGTTGTTTGCCAGATTCCTTATGAGTTTAGGAAATTTGTTTGGGCAGGGTTTGATATAAATACCTAAACGTTTTTAGGGTTTGTTAAGCATAAGAAAACCATTAAAAGAGAGAACTTTTGACAGAGAGATCTCAGGGAGATAAAACCCTAGTTTGAAAGCTTGTATTTCTTCTTTAATCAATAAAAGAATTGTGTGGTGTGGCTCCCGAGGACGTAGGCACGTTGCCGAACCTTGTCAAATCTGTGTGTTCGTCTCATTTATTATTCCTGCAAGTTTTGATCTTTATTTGTGGTGAATTTTCCTACTTTTCTACTTTCAACACAAGGTCCGGAAGGGCAAGGGTTCGATTTGATTGTTTTGAATCCCCAACACTTGTCAATTAGCACATTAATTTTGATTTACTTGTTACTCTAATAAATTTTGAACTTCTACTTACGTATCTGTCTATTTGTTTGTGTTATGTACCCCTCTTTTATATTTTCTCTCCAATCATAAATGATTCACTGATATTTTAGAGAGATTTACTGATATTTGTTTGTGTTGCAAAGAAATTTACTAATATTTCAGAGTTTATCAAGACAGAGTTAGCTCTTAATATGCAAGCAACTTGGGGATAAAAAAATAGACTAAATTATCTTCACATCCATATATTATTTATGCCTCTTACACTTTCGAATCATTACAAAACCACGTTGTTGACTTACATTGAACACACCCGCATCAACGTCATCCCCCTTAAATTGAATAGTCCTAAATAGGATAAGTTAGAAAAATCTTCAAAAAAAAGAACCTTGAATATAGCTTTATATACACCCAAGTATATTGCATCCAACGGCTAACAACTAATAATCACAAATAAAGGAGAATTTTTCTTATTGACTTTCTGACACCTTCAGCAATCTTATAAAATCGACAAATCCGTTCATTAACTTCATTGCACATCAAAACTCATCTCCTCAAACGAAACCGAGATGAACAAGTGTTGGCATGCTGACGCAGCGCGAAAGTGATAACCTCGGAATCCATCAAGGGTGTTCTCTGAATCCAAAGAACAATCTTTGAATCCACGAAGAACTTCGAATCCACGAAGAAAATATTGAAAAGATAAATTTTATTGATGAAAAATTATTCTCCTTTGGGGTTACATGACTCTTCTTAAATAGAAAAACAAATAAGACTCCTAGTAAGACTAGAATTATAAAAATAGAAAGTATCTAATAAGACTCCTAGTAAGACTAGAATTACAAAAAAAAAAATCAAATTCTATCCTAAAAAGACTCCTTATAATAGAGGAAACAAATCATGAATCAAAATTGATTTTGTTTCCTAATCTAATTTGATTCTAAAATTGAATTTATTTCCTAATCTATATTTCCTAATCTAAATAGACTCCAACTCAGATTAAGCGTCCTACATCAGTCTCCCCGTATTGAAAGAAGCTCGACCCCGAGCTTATATTTGCTAGAATAGTAGCTTCATTGGTAAATAATTTTCTTTTCTTGCAATGATCAACATCAGCCTTGTATTTAGTATTGATTTTTTCCATTTGTTCTTTTACCTCCTTTGATAGGACTTCTTTTGTATCAAACTTGTGTATGAATCTTTTCCATGACAAGTATATGTGACTAACAGCATGTGGCTCTGTAGTTGATATGAAAAACTCCTCCAAATATTTTCCTTGTTGCTTCCCATATTCTAGTGTCGACGGTATCATCTCACCATTGATGATTATTGCTTCAAAAAAATAATTTTCTTCCTCATACTCCATACACAATTCTTTCATCTCCTTTATCTCAAGCTCTCCACCAAGCAATGCACACATACCATCAATTGTCTCACTCTCTATTTTATCTTTCTTCTCCATCGGGACAATATCATATAGAATAGTCATCTTCATTAACATATCATCATCAACATCAGGAACCTCAGGATGAATCTTGATGGTGGCAAAATCTTCCTTTTCGGGGGTGAGCGTCTTGTTGTTTGCCACTAGAGACACCTGCCATTGCTTGTAGTTAGAAGGTAAGAAACGATCTCTCAATAATTTCTTCTTCTTTGCCCACGTTCGAACCGGATCCTTTCCTTGATGGTATCGATTTATCAGTACTTCATCCCACCATGTCCAATCTTCTGGGATTATATATTATACTCAAAATACTTATCCACTTTATCAATCCAATCAAGGAAATCATCAGCATGAAGCTTTCCATTGAAGGATGGTACTTTTAATCCTCCAGCATCATAGTTCCCCTTTCTTCGGTAGCCTCTATGATCATCGCTATAGAATTTATCTTGTGAAGTCAGATCACGTCTTTAGCGACCATCAACGCGATTTTGAACTTCCACCGTGTTCAGACGCTAAACTACCGTCGCAAGTCGCTCCATGATAGTCTTCATCTGTTTAACATCGACCTTTAGCATGTTGAACTTAGTTCGAGAAATATGGGCTTCATCACCTGCCATCGGATCGGAGGAACAAGGCTCTGATACCAATTAACGCAGCGCGGAAGTGATAACCTCGAAATCCACCAATGATGTTCTCTGAATCCAGAAAGAACGATCTTTGAATCCACGAAGAAAATATTGAAAAGAGAAATTTTATTGATGAAAAGTTATTCTCCTTTTGGGTTACATGACTCTTCTTAAATAGAAAAACAAATAAGACTCCTAGTAAGACTAGAATTACAAAAATAGAAAGTATCAAATAAGACTCATAGTAAGACTAGAATTACAAAAAAAAGTGTCAAATTCTATCCTAAAAAGACTCCTTATAATAGAGGAAACAAATCATGAATCAAAATTGATTTTGTTTCCTAATCTAATTTGACTCTAAAATTAAATTTATTTCCTAATCTATATTTCCTAATCTAAATAGACTCCAACTCAGATTAAGCATCCTACATCACATGCATACCTTAAAGACGTGTGCCTCTTCTTTCAAAAGTATCCCGCGATTCACTTAGCAATTCTTGCCATTGTCCTCGTCTACCTCCTTCACTGCACGACTCGTCGAGGCAGCAAGGTTGTCATCAACTGGTCGGTTGTCGGCATGCTTCCGACAATCATCGCCAACAAACACCACCTCCTCGACCACGCGACCTCCATGTTTCAAGAGTTCGGCAACACTTTCATGTTCAAAGGCCTGTGGTTCTGTGGGATAGACTTCTTACTGACATGCAGCCCTGACAATGCCAACCACATGTTCAATCCAAATCTCCAACTATCCAAAGGGTAAAGAGTTCATTGAGATATTCAACATATTCAGGGAGGGGATCCTCAATGTCAATGGGGATTTATGGAGGGACCAGAGGAGAATGGCTCAAGCACTTATGAACACGTCAAGGTTTCGGTCCTCTGTTGGCGAGCTCACCTTAAACAAGGTGATGAAGGTGCTCCTTCCCCTTCTGAGCAAGATGTCCGAATCTGAGAAGGTGGTCAATCTGAGTGACGTGTTCATGAGATTCATATTTGACACTATATGTGTTATGGTCATGGGAGTGGATCCTGGCAACCTTGCTTCCAACTTCCCTAGAGTTCCATTTGCAATGGCCTTAGACCAAATCGAACAGGTATTCTTCTTTCGACACATAGTTCCTAGGTTTTGCTGGATGCTACAAAGGCGGCTATGGTTGGGTAAAGAGAAGAAGATGGCACAGGAAAGGGACATGATGACATGATGATGTTGTTCATGGATCACTATGACGACAAGTTCCTACAAGGTACATTGCTTACCTTCCTAGTTGCACGTAATGACACCACATGAGCGGCGGTCATCTGGATGTTCTGGCTAGTCACCAACAACCCTGATGTCGAGAAAAAGATCCTAGAAGAGCTTAGAAAGCTCAAACCCTGCTCTAAGGTCAAGGATGATGAAAATGATGAAATGACTATGTTCAAAGTTGAGGAGATTGAAGTGATGGTCTAAGTGCAAGCGGTCTTGTGTGAAACTCTAAGGCTTTATCCACCCATACCTTTCAATCATAAAGTGGCAAGTAAGGCTGATATCTTGCCCAGTGGCCACAAAGTTTAGGCTGGTACCAAGATTATCTTGTCCATGTATCGATAGGGAGAACAGAGTAAATTTGGGGGAAGGCTTGCTTGGAGTTCAAGACAGAGAGATGGATTACAGAGAAGGGAACACTGAAGCATGAGCTTTCATACAAGTTCATCGCATTCCAATCTGGACCGGGGTCTTGTTTGGGGAAACACATGGCTATCACTCAGATAAAATGTTGGATTATGCAAGTCACGGAAGATAAAATTTAAACAATCAAGAAGCCCCAAATCTACCAAGCAATCAAGACAAACAACAAACAACAAGATTTAACATGGTTTCACGCAATCAAGATGATTCGTGTACGTCCACGGGGAGAAGGGGAATATCTTATTTCTTTTGAGAAGAGATTACAAGAGGTTGAAACTACACACCCCTAACAATGGTGGAATATAGATCTCTTTTTTTGTTGTTGTCAAACCCATGGATTGATACAATATATAGAGATTGATTTAGCTCAATTCTATTAGAACTCTAACTTGAATCCTAATTGGATTTCAAAATTCAATTAATTCTTTCAATTCAATCCTAATTAGGATAGTATAACTAATCCTAATTAGAGTCCAAACCCAATCATGTTTCTCAACTGATTTGAGTCATCACAAACTCAACAATTTTCACCTTGACTCACATCACGTTGAAGCAATCCTTTGTGAAGATTTTCCAAAATCAACCCCCACTTTATACAACTCCCTCCCAAGAGTATTTCTCCAAAGTTACTACTGAAGAACGTAGATGAAGTCCAGAGATGCTTTGAACTTCTCCACTGGAATGACCTTTGTCATAATATCCGCTGGATTCTTCTTTGTACTAATCTAATTCGATCACTTTTCCCTGTCAATCCACTCTTAGATCTTGTGATAGTTGATGTTAATGTGCTTCATCCGCTTGTGATACCTCTGATCCTTTGCAAGATGAATCGCGCTCTGACTAACACAATAAATAGGTACTGAATCCTACACGATGTCAAACATCCTGACCAAACCCCACAACCATAGAGCTTCCTTTGATACCTCAACTGCAGCTATGTACTCTGCCTCAGTCGTCGAAAGAGCCACAGTTTCCTGTAACTCAGCCTTCCAACTAATAGCACAGTTAGAAACTGTGAATACATACAATGTCGTCAACCTCTACTGATCAAGGTCGTATACGTAATCTGCATCGATGTATCCCTATAGTTTCTTGGACCCCTTATCCTCCAAAAACTAAAACAATAGGCCAACCTTTGCAGTCCCTCACAGTTAACGTAGAATCCACTTCACCGCCTCCTAATACTGATTTCCTAGATTTGACATGAGTCGACTTACTGAACTTACTACATAGGCTAAGTCAGACCTAGTGCAAACCATAGCATACATCAGCGATCCTACCGCACTGGCATATGGTATCCGAGACATTTTTTCCTGCTCCTCAACTGTTTGTGGACACTGCTCTGAGGATAATTTGAAGTGACAGGCTAAAGGAGTAGAAACCGATCGTGCTTCATCCATGCTGAACCTTTTCAACACATTGAGAATATAATTCTCTTGGGACGACCAAAGTTTGCCAAAAACCCTGTCTTGTGAGATATCCATACCTAAGGTTTTCCTAGCTGCTTCCATATCCTTTATGTCAAACTCCATCCTCAGCAACTGCTTGACTTCCTCGATTTGTACCCTTTCCTTTGCAGCTATCAGCATAGCATCCATATATAACATTAAATATGTTGGATGCCCAGTCTGCCACTGCCTCGGAGATTGTTTGAGCCTGTATAAAGACCTCTTAAGAAGATAAACCTTGTCCTCCTCACCTTCGCGGAGATATCCCTTAGGTTGCTTCATGTAAATTTGCTCCTCTAGTTATCCATACAGAAATGTTGTTTTAACGTCCATCTGCTCTAACTCCAAATCACACTGTGCAACAATAACCAACAACAAATGAATGGAATATCATTGTCATCCACTCCTTCCTTCTGAGCATATCCCTTGGCAACCAACATTGCCTTCAATTGCTCACCATCTTTATTTTGAAAGATCCATTTGCAACCAATCGCCTTTGAGCCTCTTGAAAGATTAACCAGAACCCACTTCTGATTCTTCTCCAAAAACTCCATCTCATGCTCCATAGTTGTAATCCACCTGTCACGATCATCAGCTTCAACGGACTCTCTGTAGCTACATGTGTCTCTAGCTTCTGTGAATAAAGCAAAAGATACATGATCATCGTCTTCCCAACCATATCTAGTAGGTGGCACCACTGTACGGATCGAGCGTCTCAACGCTATTGGCTGCTCCTCCTGTGTAGTAGCTCTATCTCCATCGCCGGTGGGAGTCTCATCGGTAGGTCCACTAGGGCTTGTAGGGCTTTCCGAAAACTCCACCTCTTATACCCGAGAATCTGTAGAAGCATCTGGAGCTCCACCTTGTTCCTTGTCTTCTGTCTTCAAATCTTCCCGCATGATAGCGTCTTAATCAAAGACCACATCTCTACTGGTAATGGCACTGTGAGTCTCAAGATCCCATAATTGGTACCCTTTGACTGCAGAAGTGAATTCTATGAAGATACACTTTCTCGACTTAGACTCCAGCTTGTTTCTCTTTTGACTGTCTACAAGATTATACGCTGGACAACTAAATATGCGTAAAGTCGAGTAGTCTACTGATTATCCTCGCCATATCTCCTCTGGGATCTGAAGATCAACGGCTGTAGATGGTGACCTATTAATCAAATAACACATATCTTTACCGCTACCACCCAAAAACCTTCGGATATGTCTGCTTGTAGCAAGAGATTGTGGTATCTTTCCATCAGTGTCCGATTCATGCGTTCAGCTACTACGTTTTGTTCTGGTCATCCTAGCACACTTAACTGATGTTGGATGCCTTTATTAGTCAAGTACTCTTTGAATTCCCCGGAGGTATACTCAACCCCATTATCTGACCTCAAGACTTACAATTTCAGCCCCTTCTGATTTTCCACCAGTGCTTTCCACTCCTTGAACTTCTGAAAAACCTCAGACTTTTACCTCAAGAAACAGACACAAAGCTTCATGGAGAAATCATCAATGAAGGTAACATAATACCTCGCACCCCCAATGGATGCCTTCGGTGAGGCCCCCACACATCAGTGTGGAAAGATCTAGCAACCCCTTGAACTTATGTTACGAAGTAGAGAAAGATACTCTACGGTGCTTCCCCCATAACATAATACTTATAAAAGTCAAGTTTGCATTGAGTTATTCCTGAAAGCACGCCCTTGCCATGGAGTTTTTACAAACCTTTTTCACTCATGTGTCCTAGACGCATGTGCCAAAGTCTCGATCGATCAGTCTTCTCTACTACAGCTAAAACCTCACCCTCAATGACACTACCTACCAATCTATACAAGTTCCTCGTGTGCTCCCCTTTTAGAATAGAAGTAGCATCCCTGGTGAGTGTGATAGATCTACCTTCATCACTGAACTTGCACCCCTGAGCCTCAAAGGCTCCCAGCGAAAGAATATTTTTCTTTAAGCCTGGAACATACCGAACATTGGAGAGAGTCCTTTCTTGTCCATCGTGCATATTCATCCTAACGTTCCTAATGCTACCAATCCGACACACTGCATCATTCCCTATGAGAACCGATCCTCCAGAAACAAACCTGTAAGTGCTGAACCATTCCCTCCTTGGGCACATGTGATATGTGCATCCTGAATCAAGTAACCAATCATCGGTATACTTGCCCGTACCTGACTCCGCAGTCAGTACATCACAGAGATCTTCTATGACACCAACATGGTTATCCTTACCCTTAGTGCTATCAGTCCCGTCATCCTGTTTTTTCAAGTACTCCTTGTATGACTTGTAATCCTTCTTGAAGTGACCTAGTCGTTTGCACCAAAAACAGACGACAGAACTAGAATTTCCTTGAGCCTTGACCTGCTCCTGTCCCTTCGACTTCCCTTTTCTTTATATTGGCCACTAGACCTAAAGATTCCTCTATTGTGTCCGTCTTCCTGATGAGCTCATTATTCTGAAGTACCGAGATGACATCCTCCAACTCCAAAGTCTCCTTACATGATGGTAGTCTCCAAGTGATTGTAACTAGGTGAAAGCAAATACAGCAACAGAAGAGCTTGGTGTTCTTCTTCTAGCTTCACCTCAAGAGCTAACAAATCACCAATAATCCTATTTAAGATGTTCAAGTGTTGTAGAATAAGCATACCTTCCTTCATTTGAAGTTCATAGAGCTGCTTCTTCTTGAAGAGTTTATTTGACAAACTCTTCGTCATATACAAGCTTTCCAACTTGCACCACATAGCCGCAGCCGTGCTCTCGTTCATAACGTTGTAGAGCACCTCATCTGACAAGCACATGATAATCGTAGCCTTTGTGCGGACATCCATAACTTTCAACTCATCTTCATCCAAAGTGCATGGCTTCTTCTCAAAACCGTCTAGGGATTGGTGGACCCCTTCCTTCACGAGTAACGTCGTGACGCGCATCTTTCACAAGAGAAAATTCGACTCGTCGTCAAATTTCTCCACCTCAAACTTGGTCGATGTTGTCTTGGTCGCCATAGTAGCTCTGATACCAATTGTTGGAGTATGCAAGCCGCAAAAGATAAAACTTAAACCATCAAGAAACCCCTAATCTACCAAGC